TATTGATTAGTAATGTTCTAAACAGGAAATAAATGGTTTAGAGGCATCGAGAGTCACCTTGGGTATTTGAAAAATCCAACGGTTTCATAAAGCTTATGTAACAGTGGTGGTGTAACTAAAACTGTCAACACAATTTAAAATTTCCTCAAAATCCGATTTTATGCACACAGTCTCAAAGAGTATCAAAAGCACTGATCAAAGCACTGATGCATGACATAGGCTGTGAATGACAGCTGGAAAAGGATGCTTGATGGGAATAAAACAGATGGGAATAAAATGAATAACACATGATTTTAAAGTTGCAAGTAAATGAGATTCCGTTACAAAGCCAAACATGTTCCTAATCAATTAAAAGAGAGACATTTGGCACTGATACTTAATGAAATAACCATGCTATTGTACATGAAGAGGCTATAATATTTCAGAGAAAAGTGCAGACTCATTCAAAGAAAAGCACTGAGAAGCAAAACAAGATGAGTAAATGTAGCACAGCATGAAGGTCTAAAACAAGCAATGATGTTTGCATAGGTATTAGCCATGGTTCTATTAATAAATAACCAGGTGCCCTGCAGCGCAGTGATGGAAAACTCTAGCTGTACAACAGCCTCAGTTTTAGACAGTTATTTTGTGAACGAAAACAAAAAAATCTAACCATTATCATTAACTAAAAGCTAGTGCCAAAGTAAAAGTTTTCAAATAATATTATTTTTTTTACACTTTTTTTTTTTTTTAGTTATGTCAAAGCCATTTTGGCTTCTTCACATAAAATATCAGAATCTTTATTCATTAAAAGGGTCATGAGAAATCAAATTTTACTTAATCGTTTGGCATTTAAGAGGTCTTTGTACCATTAATAGTTCACCCAGAAATAAAAATTTACTGACAAGTTACTCACCCCAAGGCCATCCAAGTCAAGATGTAGACGACTTTGTCTCTTTATCGGAAATTATAATTACATTACTTGCGTACCAATAGATCCTCTGCAGTGAATGGGTGCCGTCAGAATGAGAGTCCAAAATATATTTTTTTTTCCCTTTTTTTTTTTTTTATAGTTATGTCAAAGCCATTTTGGCTTCTTCACATAAAATATCAGAATCTTTATTCATTAAAAGGGTCATGAGAAATCAAATTTTACTTAATCGTTTGGCATTTAAGAGGTCTTTGTACCATTAATAGTTCACCCAGAAATAAAAATTTACTGACAAGTTACTCACCCCAAGGCCATCCAAGTCAAGATGTAGACGACTTTGTCTCTTTATCGGAAATTATAATTACATTACTTGCGTACCAATAGATCCTCTGCAGTGAATGGGTGCCGTCAGAATGAGAGTCCAAACAGCTCATAAAAGCATACAATAATCCACAAGTAATCCACATGGCTACAGTCCATCAATTAATGTTTTGTGAAGTTAAAAAGCTGTCTGTTCGTATGAAACAAATCCATCCATCATAAAGGTTTTTTAACTTCAAACTGTTGCTTCTGGCTAAAATACTGGCTAAAAGTCCACAATATCGCTTATGCACTACTACTCACTGCAGAGGATCCTCTGTGTGCAAGCAAATTACATGCCAAAATATCTCCGAATCAAACTCATCTACATCTTGGAGGGTGAGCAAATTTTCAGCAAATTTTTCATTTTTAAGTGAACTATTCCTTTTAAACATCCTCCTCAGTACAAAAAAGCATTCATGCAACCAAACTGCAAAAACGGTTTGTTTGGATGTTGTGGGATTTGTGATGTCGCACGGGCAAATACATGACTCCAATGCCATTTACACTGGATACAGTACATAAGTGCCCATTTAATTTCTGAAGTACTCCATAAATTCGGGCCATTCCCGACAACAGGACAAATGGAAGAATAAAAAAAAAACACATCCAGTTTTAACAGATCTTTTGTGTCAGTTCCCAGCATTGGGAACAAGTGGATGGTTTATTTTTAATGGTGTCCCAGATCAAGTCAGAGGACTATATGTTTGTTCGTAGCATTTGACTGAAGATTGTTTTGTAAATGAGGTACAGTGTAAGGGAGAGTTAGCAAAGAAACTTTTATTGAAATATGGAGCAACCAACTATAGTGGATCTGTCAGCAGCTAATGCTTTATCTGGAAATGTCTGTTTTAAATAGATAATATTTTCAAATCACTTGCTATATTTATATGTATTAACACTTACTATACTTATTATTGTGTAATAAAGAGGGGGCGGTGATACTTAGGTTAGAGAATCATAACAGTGGCTGTTTAATGACAAGCCTCATTTCAGAATGAAAATCAACCATTTTTAATGGAAAACCATTGTTAAGAATATATAACTTTTTTTGTGCATGTGTAAAAACCTTTATTAACATTACAAGTGAATCTCAAGGAACATATAAAAAAAGATTGTTTTTAAATGTGTCATGACCCCTTTAAAAAAATTGCAGGTGGTGGCGTGTGCATAATATTGTGAGGAAGGAATTACTGAACGTTTCTGGCATCTGGTGGTAAACTGGAATATAACAGGGAATGAAGCTTGGACTGAGCAGATTTTTTAAGGTAAAGTGGGCATTTTTTCAATGTTAAAATAGCATCAGAAAGATATAAGATATAATATAAGAAAGACATTCATTAGCTGAATCTTGTGGCACTTCCAAAACACTGCACTATTTGAACATCCCAATTAGTACAACTTATAGCATGGGTTTGGAGGGGGACTGTTCATTTGTCCAAACAAAGGATGACAAGGGGACCATTCAATAATAATAATAATAATAAATGTTCTAACTCTGCAATTTCATTTAGTGACACTAGAGGTGCAGAAACTTAACCTTTCAGCAAATCAGTTTGAGCAAAACTAAAGTTTGGTTGCCAAATTTTAGTTGTAATGCTGGAGTTGCGACAAAGGCCCTGTCCCAAATCGCACACTAAACCCTCACGGTCTTCCTCGGAGTCCACAAATTTTCGTGATGTAATGCCGCTTTGTCAGTCAGGTGTATAAGTCTCAGAGCAGGTCTATCGCCTCAGTGCGGGCTCGGCAGAAGTGCGAGCGCCCTTCTGAAAGCTAAAATGATGAATGGGACACCCTACAGTCTCGTGGACTTAACGAGCATGCGCATGAGGCGGGCCAATGTAAGTTTGCAAGAGAGCAAGTGCACGTGAAGTGTGCCATTTGGGACAGGGCCAAACAGAGATGGGAGTTAAAAATACTACTTCCTACTTCCGACCTCAGTGCATTCCAGTCAATCACAACACAAGATGGCGCCATGACTCAAAAGTATTTGACTTTCTGTGAATTATGGCAAAATCGTGAATTAAAGGGGTCATATGATGCTGCTAAAAAGAACATTATTTTGTGTATCTGGTGTAATGAAATGTGTTTATGCGGTTTAAAGTTTAAAAAACACATTATTTTCCACATACTGTACATTTTTGTTTCTCCTCTATGCCCCGCCTTTCTGAAACGCGTCGATTTTTACAAAACTAATCGGTCTGAAAAGCGAGGTGTGCTCTGATTGGCCAGCTATCCAATGCGTTATGATTGGCCGAATAGTGGTTAACTCTTAACTTCTATAAAGAATATCTCTTTGGATTTGAGACTTTAGTCTTTGCAACTTTACAGATCTTCTTTATGCACCAAGAGCTTGTAACACTCCAAAGAGAAAGGAAAAATTGAAATCACATCATATGACCCCTTTAAAGCAACTTTAAGGCTCTCCCAAAATCTGTTTATTGTCATTCGTTATTCAAAACTTATAAACTATCTAATATAATGCAATGCAGTTCCAGACGTTAACGCTACATAGCTAACTGTCTACTAGGTAAAACTTTCAAAATAGGTGAAAACCTAGACATAAATTGATACATAAACAATTCTTAGTATATTTTCGTATATTGCAGGTTCATTTAATTTGTGCTGAAAAAAAACATAAAAGTTCCTCATAACCTAGCTGCACACTCTGTTTGCTGGTCGCCGCTATTTTGGAAATTATGTCAAATGACTCCCCGAGCTCAGGGTTGATCAAACTGCCCCGAGTTTACAAGTCGGATGTCCGACTTGGAGTGGTGTTATTTTCAAGTGAGAGGAGGAAAAAAAGTTCAGATTTGTTTTGAACATAGCTTATTTAATAAAGCTTCTATCATTTAAAAAAAAAAAATGCTTGCATTACTAACATTTTTTAAAAGTGTATTTGTTTTAAAAGTATTTATAAGTTTCTTATCATATTTCATGCTTCCATCATCCTCATTTGTAAGTCGCTTTGGATAAAAGTGTCTGCTAAATGATTAAATGTAAATGTAATGTAATGTAAATATCACACATGAATTTATCTTTGTAAAAAGCTGTGCCATTTTACAAAGATAAGCTGATTTGACTTGGAATGTGTGTGCACCTGTGTATATTAGATAGAGATCAAAGAAAACATCAAAGAAACATTCGAACTTTCAAATCGCACTTCTTTTTTTTTTTAATTACAGAAGCCTTAGAACTTTTGGAATTGAACATTTTGGACATCATAGGTGCTAAGTGAACGTTTATTAACATTGAATTATTGGGCATCAGAGGCGCCCTCCAATGTTCGAATCGAACACTTGTGTATGTCAAGCTTTTGAACGTTCGAACTGAACATTATTACATATAATAGATGTATCTAAACGCCGGAATTTAGAACGCGACTTTGAAGACCAAAGCTACTACACGCGCCTATGATGCCCAAAAATGCAGCCTAACTAGAAAGCTCAGTAGATTTTGAGACACAGCCAGAGTGATTATAGTGACTGCAGCAGTATTTAATCTGCAGCTCTGCGATCAGATGACGTTGACGTGTGCACTTCAGGCCCTACTCTAAACTTTTAAACCATATACTGATTATGCCTATCAGTGCACACTAAAAGTGGCTAAAAAGTGCAGCTAACCAATCACATCTACATGCAGAGAGCAAATAAACGCACATTCTCTTACGTATGCAGAGCAAATTCATATTTAGTAAATCCAAATAATTTGCAAACGTGTATCGACTCACCAACAGCTCGTTCCGCTTTTTATATATCTTATCTTCTCGTTCACTCCTCTTCTTCAGGTTGATGTATTTGTGTGGAGGCTTTAAAAGCACTAGGCCAGTGTGTGTGTGTGTGATCTGAAACTCTATAAGCTACGTGGCTCTTTCAAACGTGAATATTACACCAGTTTACAGTCTCAACCCTCATCCACTCGTTTATTTCTGCGTCTGAAAACGTCCGGGGGTCGAGACAGGTCGCGATCGTCCAAATCAAACAACTTTTCCCCGCGAGTGTTGTTAGTTTTCACGGCCACCTCCATCCATACCGAGCACAGGCTCTTCAAGCGTCTGGATAATCGCCATCATTTTCCGCTCAAGAATGTACACACACTCACACGTCACTGCGCATGCGTATCACAGCCGCGTCAACTTTCATTCCTTTTCCCTTTTCTGTCTTTAGTTATGCAATATTTGTTTTTCAGACGTGTTGTTGACAGTACAATGGTTGTACAATGGTGCAATCGAAGCAAAAACTGACCTAAAGGCTGCATAATGTTTAAAATCGCTATCAATTTATATTAACTAGCCTACAATACCCTGTTATAGGTCTACATATTAAAACTATTTGTCATGGCATTAGAAGATGACTTGAAATTCAATTTTCACATGTCCGATTACCTGAAAATGTCTTAAATTGTGAGAGGTTTCAGTGTTCCTCATTGGAACCGACAGATGGCGTGTAGCCCCTCCCACAGGTGGAGCCCGCAAGGTTAGTTTGTAAACGTAACACCCCTGGATCCAAACAGGCCTCTGTTTAAATATAAACATATATATAGAGAGAGAGAGAGAGAGAGAGAGAGAAATATAAATATATAAACAAATATAAACACAGTCTATGAGGTCCCATAGGAGGGGAGAGGGGTAGCTTTTGTGTGGAAACAACTCGTCCCATAATAAAATGACTGCAATTGGGGGCTAATTTCTGCTTGCCATAAGAAATTAATTGTGGTGTGAGCTAAATCTGGAGTTTATATAGAGAGAGAGAGAGAGAGAGAGAAATATAAATATATAAACAAATATAAACACAGTCTATGAGGTCCCATAGGAGGGGAGAGGGGTAGCTTTTGTGTGGAAACAACTCGTCCCATAATAAAATGACTGCAATTGGGGGCTAATTTCTGCTTGCCATAAGAAATTAATTGTGGTGTGAGCTAAATCTGGAGTTATAACAGTTGTATAAGAGAAGCCACTCACCTTTTGCCACCTAAAGTTTAATTTTAGGGTATCATCTACTCATGTCTATTGGGTCCGCACATGGTTACTGACTGTAACTTTTTATTTAAGAAACAGAAATTAGATTTCACATGTAACAAAACAAGAGCAAACACACACAAAGGCAAAGCAGACATGAGGGAAAAAAAACTATGCATGATTAAAATACATGAAAGTAAAATAAATAGCCTACAATTATAAATGTGATTTTAAAATTATTTTAAAAATAAAAATAAATAAAGACATAAAGACATTCGAACGGTCAAATCACACTTTTTTGTCATTACAGAAGTCCTGAATTTGGAATTGACATTTTGGTTTTTTTTTTGTTGTTGTTGTTGTTGTTGTTGTTGTTGTTTTTGTCATTACAGCGCCCTCCAATGTTCGAATCTAACACGTGTGTACATCACACATGCCTGAACGTTCGAATTGATCGTTATTAGACAAGAGGACAAGCAAGCACACAATGGCAAACATAAGCAAAATAAACAAATGGATTAATAAAATAAATGAAAGTAAAATAATACAATTATAAATATGACAAAATAACAACAATAAATTAATAAACTAATATGTAAAACAAAATGAAAACATTGATAGGAAGAAGAAAGAAAACCAAACCTTTTACCTACACTTTTACCAGCACTCACACATATCAATAAGACATCTCTTCTCACAGGCATTTTTCCCACCGCATTCAAGCAGGCTCGGTGTAAATCCACTGCTTAAAAAAACGACATCTTTCTCCTACCATTCATATTTCACACTTGAACAAATTGTTTTCAACCAGGTATCATTATTTCTTTCACAGAATAACCAACTGGACATTAACCAATCAGGTTTAAGAAGTGGCCATTCAACTGAGACTGCGTTATGGATTGCAAAAGCTAATTTTAAAACATCAGTTCTCATTCTGCTGAATCTATCTGCCACCTTTGATACTGTGAATCATCAGATTCTTTTGTCCACCCTCTCATCACTGGGCATTACAGGAACTCCACTTTGCTGGTTTGAATCTTATCTATCAGGGAGGTCTAGAGCACATCAGCTGGTCACAGGGGTTCCTCAGGGATCAGTTCTTGGACCCCTCCTCTTCTTCATATACACTACATCACCGGGACCCATCATACACGCACATGGTTTCTCCTACCTTTGCTGTGCTGATGACAGCTCTATCTTTCATTTCAACCAGATGATCCAACGGTAGCTGCACGGATCTCAGGCTGCATGGTAAACATCTCAGCATGAATGAAAGAATATCACCTGCAGCTCAACCTGGCAAAGATTGAACTTCTCGTCTTTCCTGCCACTCTGACTCGACAGCATGATTTCACCATCCACCTAGGTTCATCAACAATTACCCAATCAAGTGCAGTCAGAAATCTTGGCGTAATCTTTGATGACCAGCTGACCTTCAAAGACCACATTGCAAAAACTCCACAATCATTCAAGTTTATATTGCACAACATCAGAAAGATCAGGCCCATAACACAGAATGCTGCACAACTTCTTGCCCAGGCCCTTGTCATTTATAGGATGGACAATGCTCTTCTGGCTGGACTTCCATCATGTGCAATCAAACCTACAAATGATTCAGAATGCAGCATCACGACTGGTCTTCAACGAGCCCAAAAGGGCCCACGTCACACCTTACCTTATCTCCCTGCACTGGCTACCAGTTGTGGCTCGCATCAAGTACATAACATTGATGCTTGCGTATAGAACAGCCACAGGATCAGCACTCTCCTACTTCCACTCACTGTTACGAGTCTACATCCTCTCCATAAGCCTGAGATCTACAAGTGAGCTGCCTCATGGTACCATCACAGAGAGGCACAAAATCACTTTCCAGAACTGTTCCTGGCTGGTGGAATGGTCTTCCCGTGCCCATCCAAATTGCTGAATCCCTGACAATTTTCAAGCAACAGCTGAAAACTCATCTCTTTTGTCAACATGTGACTGCATCCTAATAATATATATATATATATTCTTTCTCTTTCCTTAATCCTTCCCTGCCTAGCTTGTACTTATCTGAACAATGTCTGAAACTTTGTATTACGAGCACTTGCTGTATTTATTTGCCTCTGATTAATGAATCGCTTGTTGTATTCCTCAATTGTAAGGCTGCTAAATGAATAAATGTAAGTGTAAATAAATAAACCTCATCAATAGATTCATCCCCAAAAAAATATCCTATTGTTTACTGATTTGAAACAACGTGAGGGTGAGTAAATAATGACCGATTTTTCATTTTTGGGTGAACTACATCTTTAATGACTGAACTGCATTTTGCTGCAATTGTTAATTTGTCACTTTTCAGATCTGAAATATATTTTCTGTTGGCAACAAACTGTATGTAGTTTGTTGTGGTATGTAGTCCTGTCCCCACAAATATTAGCTAAAACCTGTGCAAAAGTAAGAGCGGTGAGATGAAGCCGTATAAAGACATGACTCTACACACGACTGCTGCTCTGGAGAAATTACTCCGTTTGTCAGACCACAGACAATGTATATATATATATACACATTATTCCTGAAATGGCAGTGGCGACTGTTCCTTCTATCTACCGGCAGAGGGCGCAATGTCGTCGTGAAAACTCGTCACTACATCTTACGTACATCTAACCAGAGCCGTAGAGAGAGAGAGTTGCGACCTGGATTAGAGATCTGGTAGACGGCAGGTGTTTGGACGCGTGGCTGCAAACACAGGTTGGAATCGGGGAATTTAATAACGCTGGACTTGAAATCGAAGTTGGTAAAGTACATAATATCTGTGCAGTGAATGTAGAGTGGACTATGGCAGAAAAATCTGATGGATATTTATGGGATCATGAAGATTTAAACCAAGAAGATATGATATTGGAAGAAGTTAGAGAAAAAAAAAGCAGGACGCAGATCAATTTCTAGTAGTAGTAGTCTAGAGTCTGTGGATACTGTTAAAAGAAGGAAGTAGATCTAAGGCTAAATCCTCTAATACCGAAACCTGTAAAGTTGTCATCGCATTTGATCAGAGAGGAGGACCTGATTTGCATCCAATACATATAATTAAGGCAATTGAGAAAGAAATAGGTCAAATCAATCATGCTCGCTTCTTGGGAAACGGTAGACTGCTTATTTTTGCAACATCAAAAGAACAACAAGATAAAATCTTAAAGAAAACTACTCTGAATGGACAAAAGATAATCTCACGTAGGGCATCAAAATCTAGAGGAGTGATATCAGGTGTTCCAACTTCAGTTAGTGTTGAAGAAATAAAGAAAAATTTGAAGGGTGCCATATAATAATACTACCTCCTGTATAGATTTGACATTAGCGGACAGGAAAATAGCTAGTAAGTGCGAGTAGAAAGTGGAACAAAATATAAACATGGGTAGTGATCATTTTCTAATTTATTGTAAGATTGAAACAGAAATATCAAAGCAGCAGAACTACATATATCATAAGTGGTGCTTTCAGGAAGCTAATTGGGAAAAAAATCCAAAACTACTGTAATGAAATGAATAGTCTACATATTATGGATGAACCAATAGACAAAATAAACGACTCCTTGAGCACTCTTATTCTAAGTGCAGCCAGACAGAGTATTCCAGCTATTAATAGCCAAAAGAAAAGAACAAATGTGCATGGTGGAATAAAGAATGTTCTGATGCCATTAGGGATCGTAACAAAGCATTTAAGAAATTACGTAAAACACTAACTTTAGACAATCTTCATGGAATATCAAAGGAAGAAAGCTAACTAGTAAAGGAAACTAAAAAAGAAGCCTGGAGACAATTTTGCTCAACAAAATGTGGAAGATGGTTAAGAAAATGACAGGTAAATACAAACCAGCACAAATACCTGTTTTAGTTGATAAACAGAATCAAGCTGTTAATGATATCTGTAAAGCTAATATGTTGGGTAAAGAATTTGCTAATATTCATAATGGCAATCATCTAGATGAAATATATAAAAAAAGGAAAGAAGAAATTTTGAATGAAAAAAATAACATACTAAATGTCAAAGAAGATACTGAATTTACCATGTCAGAATTTAAATCAAAAATACTGCATATTCTTCACCAGGTACTGATAACTTATGTTATGCAATGTTTAGAAAATTGCCTGATGGAATTCTAGG